AGGCAGCGGATGGCAGCGGATGGCAGCGGATGGCAGCAGACGGCGCAGGCGGGCTCAGGCAGACGAGTGAGTTGGGAAAATTCCGCCTTGAATCTACGAGACGATGGGGCAATTAGACCAGCAATGCGCCGTGAAGAAGGCTTTTTCTCCCGCAATGAGTGCGCCCGTGTGAGGGATCGCTGTGTGCCGGCCTGCAGGCCTACGATGACAGCGCAGCAGGGCCCCAACGAGCACGGTTTAACTGGGCCCAGGTGCGAGAGACTGATTGGCCGATGCATCAAACTGACTCAGTCAAACCCCGGTTAGTGCACACACACTTAGATACAGACAGACAACCAACACACACACACACACGCATAGCAGGAAAGAAACATCAACAGCACACAGTAGATACATTTAAAAAGCAACGCACACTGCGTTGTGCACATGTACACGAGGGGCGTGGAGTAGCGTCTGGTAGCGCCGACAGTCTCAAGGTCATGAAAGTTCGCTCCGGCCTCGGGACTACGTGCACAAACGCAGAGACGTAGGTACAAACGCCTGGGGCATAAAGAATGCGACCTGTGGCGTGAGGAGGTGCAGTCCGGCTCTGAAACAGACCGACGGTCAGATCATGGCTAACCGACAGACAAGCCAGTCGACTGTCGGCCCAGCGATTCGGTCTGAAACCAGCGTGAATCCTCCCTAAACTGGATAGGGTCAGAGGGCCTGGGCGTGAGTCAGAAGTGGCGAGCGGCCAAATGAATCGAGCGAATCAGACGAGTCTGGCGAAACCGGCGAAACTGGCGCAACTAACGAATCTGGTCAATTTGACGAGTCTTCCGAGTACGGCGAATTCGGCGAATCTATCAAAACTAACGAATTGGGTCAATTTGACGAACCAAACAACAACCAAACAACAAATCAAACGAACATAAGACAAACAACCAACACAAACAAACAAATTAACAACCAAAAAGTAGACAAACACAAAAACAACCAACCTTTAAACAAACAAACGACCAAACAAACCAGCAAATAACCGACGATCGTACGACCGCCGGGGCTCGAACTCACTCGGTGAGTGCTACAAAGTGTGGCGGCAGGGCGGCGTGTGCCTCCCTGGAGGAGTCAAGTGGGCAACACTTTCGAGTCCTCATTGAACGACATGAGGCTGCACGAGGCCAGTTTCCTTGACACGAGGCCGTGAGGCTTTGCCGTGATGACAGCTTCACGGCGAGCCGACCTGAAGCCCAAAGAACGATGCGCCTCTCTGACGGAGTTTTGCGGATCCGACGGACGACACATGATGGGAGAGTTGCCATGCCACTATGCCCTCCTCTGTCATCTTCTCCAAATCTGTCTGCGCACACCTCCATTCTTTCTCTGCCACTTGAGAATACCTTTTATCTGCTTGCTTGGTTGTACTTCCTGTTGCTGGCATCCGCCCTCTTGGCTGCATGCATGTTTGTGTGAGATGTTTATTTTTTATGTTCATGCCTGTCTTTGTCGCTTTGTCCGCATCCACGCCTGCATGTTGGGCTGTTTTGTGTTCGGCCGATCAGTCGTTAATGCCATGGTCGCTATCGCGATCGAGGCGAGAACAATCTCATCTGTTCGTCTATTGACTCGTACGTCTCCCACAGGCAACCAACCACCACCACCAACACCAACACTACCACCACCACATGTGGTATCTCCCTTCCTCCATCCGTCCATCCATTACTTGAGTGCATGATCAATCATGCAGGTAGGCAAGCAAGGAAGCAAGCAGACAGGCAAGCAAGCAAGAGATCAATCAATCCGAATTTTGGAGGCGAAATTTGACGAAGATGTACCCATCGTGTGCATAGCCAGAAAAACTGGGAACCAGGTCGAGAGAAATAGGCTTTCACTCGAGTCTCTCCTCCGCCCAGCTGCGAGATTCTAGCCCCTCAACCAGACCGGCCAAGTTGTCCGCACGGCCCACCCTGTAGGTGCTGTGAGGACTCCAGAAAAGTCTGCAGATGGCCGAAAAAGAAATGCAGACAAAGGAGCAGAGAAGGCAAGATTGATAGAATGAGAAAGAGACACAGACACAGACGCAGACAGCAAGAGAGAAAGAGATAGATAGATAGATAGATAGAGAGAGAGAGAGAGAGAGATAATAAGGAGGGGGGAGGTAGTAAGTGAAGTTGGATGTCCCAACTGAGCCTTGCAGACAGAACGAGCGGCCTGGTGATATGTGGGGCCGATGGTGTATGTCCCGAGAGCAGAGCCATGGCATATGCACCAGAATGGCGGCAGGAAGATGAGCCCATGATCGGGAATGGCATCGTGTGCGCACACAAGCGACGGAGGCTGGGCTGGCCCAAATTGAAGAGTCGGGAGAAGCGATCACGAACGAGAAAGAGGGGAAAAGAGATGAAGACAGGAAACATAATACTCCTATCAAAGGGTATCAGTCCTTGGTCAAGTAAGCCATGTGGGGCAGGGGAGAAGATGGGGTCTCGGACAAAAAAAGCTATAACTGCTGCTTTCAACTGAACCCTTCTCCAGCTCAGCCACAGCCATCCACAAGATGTGTGGTCCGGTGCCAAGACACAAGCGATACACTACGCCCTGCCCATAGACGTTCACATCAAAGGTGTGCATACAAAGCCTGCACATCCAGCACATGCACAAACAGACAAAGGCATACACATACACGGTCAGATACAGACACGAACAGGCTCACCGTACCAGGCGGTCTCGCGAAGATGTCGGTGAGCTGGGCAGAAAACAGTTGTCCCGGTTGGAAATGCTGGCTCAGATTTATCTCTTAAAGACACAAGATCATCAGGGAGAATGGGATGCGTATGTGTGTGTGTGTGTGTGTGTGTGTTTGTGTGTGTAGGAAGTATGAGAGCAGCTGTAAAGGCAGTAGGGCCAGTGAGTGAACGCATACGTGAACTTCTATGACTGGGCCATTCAGCCTACTGGCGGGGAGGTGGACGGTTTTACAGATGACTTGTGCATCTCTTCCCATGCAGAGCCAGAGAGCCAGAGAGAGGCAGAGGGAGGAAGAACAGGACTAAGTTAGAAGAGAGAAATGGGGTGGGGACGAGAGGGAGAGAGTGACAAAAGAGGTGAAAAAGAATGGCAACCAAGCCAGCAGGAATCTGGGAAAAAACATGAGCCTCTCAGACGAGGAAGATGTTTTATGTGCTGATGTAGAGCTGAGGCTCATGGCTTAATGAGCTTGTCTACATTGAGACTGATCCAAGGGAAGCTGCGATTTGGTGCAGAGCAGAGGCCGAGAAGAAAAGTCAGACAGGTTTTGGTGGACAGATGATTCCTTCATGCAAGTGTGTTTGCGTGAATATGCCTGAGTAGGCAAGACCGAAAGTACGCGCGTGTGTGCTTGTGTGTTTATATGTTCAGGTGTTGTACGCTTGTGTGTGAAGCGAGTTCCAACAATACGGGGCCCAAGAGGGTCGGTGTGAAAAGGGCCTAAATGCAAGAGGAGCGAGTAAACTGTTTTAAAAGGGAACATGTGTTTCTTCTCCTCATAGGCCGTTTGACTTGTAGAGATCTGGATTCACACAAAAAGCCATTACAACGTAAAGGGCCCTCATCGCACAGTGTCTTACCGCACCCGGTTTCGTATGAAACGATACTAAAACGTCACACCTCCCATCTGTGTTATGTCTACTATTGAAGACGGTCAGATTTCTCAACTGTGGAACAATTGAGGTGTGCAATTGTACAAAATCAACATTAACTTTGATTATAGAACTGAAGATTTAGTAAAATGCCCTAAGCATAAAAAAGCAATGGTAATAGAAAGAAAAGCCAATCTGGAAAATGAAGGCAAAGTGAGACGAATTGTAAGAGCGGTTGCACATAACTGTTAGCAATCGCATAGTAACTAACTCTGGTTCTCACAATCACAAATCTGTTTTTTCTCCAAAAAACACA